TTCCGAATATGATAATATTATTGCACGAAAGCTTCGTTTGATGAAGAAAATGAAGAAATATGGACCGAACTCTGTCTATTTAACCCAAAATCCAGGAAAACTGGATTTTCTCAACAAAGAAAAGGAAAGACAAAACCCGATACTAAGGGTATTGAGGGGTGATATGATAAATAGAATGAGAGAAAATATTTGGCTCCATCACTTACATAGAAAACCTAGATAGCTTTAGAAAATCGACCTATACGTGGTGTACTCAACGCGATCCGAAGCACCCCCACCAATAGAGTTTCTCGACCTGAAGTCGATTTAACAACTCGTGTATACTCAGTTTTTGATGCTGAATCCGAAAAAATGATTTTCAGAAACAAAAAATAAATGAAGTAGAAAATTTTCACATTTTTGCAAAGGATGTATTTTTCTCGGAAAAGGATACTTCTTGAATATTTCGTATTTTTCGACCGGAAGGAAGTATTTGCTAAGGCTCAAAAGTAGATTTTCGTGGTCAGCAGCTCCTACTCTATTAAATGATGTAAAAAAATGCGAAAAAAAAATTTTACTTGAAAGCCGAATTGCCGGTACCTTAGATATGAATGAAATAAAAGGAAATTTTTCTGTTGGTATGCGTTCTTGTCTGTATTCATTCACGTGTCGGAATGTATGCGAGTATATTCAAATTACCTGTCTAATCTAACGGCTACTTTAAGTAGGAGCTTCATTCAAGTATAGTATTCCGATTACAGATCAAATCCAATATGATTTATTTTAGGCTAGAAGTTCAACTAAACTCATATTTTTCTAGCGGACGCTCTAGCAAACAATAGTATTGGCTGATGTACTAATATCGGGGCCAGAAGTCAAGGCAGGTGGATGTTTTTTGAATAACTTTTGATAGGAACAAGTTAGAGGCCTGCAGTTTCCAGCAATCGATAGAAGATTATAGGGGACACATTATTATATAAAAACCAAGGTTTAAATAATCAGACACAATAGAAGTGATTGTGGAATCACTGAAAGAATAGACTCGTTATATGATGGAATCTCAGCAGAACAAGCTGGAAATTTCAGCATATATAGTCCCACTGTAGCCCAACATTTCTTGAAAATATCATCGATAAATCTTGTAATGATGAGGAATGATGTGCCAATCATTGTACCGGTCTTACACAAGGCACTCATTCACTCAATACATTATAAAATGATCTCAAATTTTGCCTGAATAAATATCATAATCTAGACTTTATATCTATGCAATAACATCGTACTTTGGTCGTAGAAATGAATGGAAACAGCTAAAATTCGACGAACAAATGACTTCCATACGGTAAGTATTTTAAAACAAATCTTCTCAACGTTTTCACGAGAAATGCAGAGCTTACTAATATTTTCGCTGTCTCTTCTCATTCATATAATCGAACTATGATATAATTGCATAGATATGAAGTCTAGATTATGATATTTATTCAGGCAAAATTTGAGATCATTTTATAATATATTGAGTGAATGAGTGCCTTGTGTAAGACCGGTACAATGATTGGCACATCATTCCTCATCATTACAAGATTTATCAATGATATTTTCAGAAAAGGTTGGACCATAGTGAGGCTAAATATGCTGAAAATTCCAGCTTGTTCTGTTGAGATTTCACCAAATAACGAGCCTATTTTTTCAGTGATTCCACAATCACTTCTATTGTGTCTGATTATTTAAACCTTAATTTTTATATAATAATGTGTCCCCTATAATCTTCTATCGATTGCTGAGAACTGCAGGCCTCTAACTTGTTCCTATCAAAAGTTATTCAAAAAACATCCACCTGCCTTGACTTCTGGCCCCGATATTAGTAAGCATACTGATTTTTATTAGAACTTTCAAAGAGTATGGCGCGTTTTCACAATAGTGCCGTGAATGCGTTTTGCTTCGTAACATCTCAGAAAATTGAATATAATCTCTTTTTTCGAATATGTGTGAATGCGGCTGCCGTAGTGTAGTTCATTTAGATTTCTATTGAGTATCAATGTGTGGGTATCAGTTTGATTAGATGCATCTACAACAAAAATAATCACACGGACCCACATACCATTTTGCACAACTAGATTGACGCTAATATGAACATCCACACACCTACCCATCCTTTTGGAACGTTGGATACTAGCTTTGTTGAAGACTGTAAAGTAGTATATAATACCGAAAGAGCCGTATATTCAGTCGAAGGTCAAATGAGTCACACGGACGAGCGTTACTTGTTTTCTTTTATCTGTCCGTTTTTTCATTCTAGTTAATATACCATTCTTGATACAGTTAAATCAAGATCAATAAGAAAATGACCGATAATGTTGATTCTAACCCTACCAATGCTCAATTGCTGCATTTTTCTTCAGCACACGATACTTCTTTTTCGTGGCGCTCAAGTATTGCCGCAGAATGGCATGCTCGCCGTACAGCAGAAATAAAAAATACGTCTACTCTATTTCCGCTTGCAATGAATCCATTTGGTGAAGATGAAATCTTGGCAATGACAGAAGTGTTACTGACGGGTCGTTTAACAATGGGTGTTGAAGTGGAGAAAGCTGAAAAGAAATTCGCACAGATAGTGGGAGTGCCATATGCTATCATGGTAAATTCTGGTAGTTCTGCAAACTTACTTGCCGTTTCGGCAATCACAAACAAGCTGCGTCAAGTACATTGTGACCCTGGTGATTATGTACTTGTTCCTGCTGTTTGCTGGTCAACAAGTGTCTTTCCCTTAATCCAAAATGGACTTCGTCCTATATTTGTTGACGTAGATTCGCGTACGTTTAATGTTTCCCTAGTCGAACTCGAACGTAAATTAACAAGTCGTGTAAGGGCAGTTATGTTAGTCCATGTGCTAGGTAATTCTGTTAACATGCAAGAAATCATGCGATTCATTAAACGGCACAACTTGATATTAATCGAAGATACATGTGAATCATTAGGAAGCTTTTGCAATACTGGTAAAGCAGATGAACGCAAAATGTTGGGTACGTTTGGAGATTTTGGAACCTTTTCCTTTTATTTTTCACATCACATTACGAGTGGTGAAGGAGGAATGGTCATATGTCATACAGAAGAGGACTACAATTGTGTACGTTGCCTGCGTGCTCATGGATGGACAAGACATCTTACAAATCGTCAAAAAGTTGAGAAACTATATCACGACATTGATTCTCGGTTCTTATTTGTAAATATAGGCTACAATCTTCGACCACTAGAAGTGCAAGGGGCAATGCTAAGTGTTCAGTTAGATAAACTTCATCAATTCAATTTATATCGCCGTAATAATTTACAATGCATCAAAGAAGCTTTATCACGTGATAACAGATTTTCATTGTTAATGTCATTAATGAAAGCATCGGAAGGTGTCGATCCTGCATGGTTTGGCCTTGGTATTTTATTACATCGACCATATGCTCATCAACGCTTTGAATTTTTACAATATCTTGAAAGGAATGGAATCGAAAATCGTCCTGTCATAAGCGGTAATTTTATTCGTCAACCTTGTATCTCAATATTCTGTGATAACGAAAAACCAGAAAACTATCCAGGAGCAGAGGCGATTCATACCCGTGGTTTCTTTATCGGTGTTCATCAGATACCTCTCGGTCAAACTGTGATTGACAAGCTCGTTGAAGTGATCTTAGCGTTTCCCTTCTCTTCTTATCATGTTGTGTTAGTCACTGGAAGCGGCGGCATGTTAGGCAAATATATTCGAGACGTCGTTCTGGAACGTTCCTCAAAGAATAGTTCAACCCTAACAGTCACAAATACAACCCCATTGAAAATCAAGACAACGGAATCAGAATGGGTCTTTGTAACTCGCCACGATGGAGATCTTCGCAAAGTAGAAGATGTCAAAAATATTTTTAGGCGATTTCAACCAACACGAGTATTGCATTGTGCAGCATACCTTGCTTCGATTAAAGAAATGTCGGCTAAACCAGTAGACTTTTGGCTCAACAATGTTACTATGAATAATAATATTCTGGAAGCCGCATTTGAATTTCAAACATGGAATGGACCAATCAAAGTAGTGTCAATATTATCTACAGTTATGTTTCCAAAGAATGCACAGTTTCCGATCGATACTTCTCTTATCTATGATGGACCGCCTCACTACACATCAGAATCATATGCATATGCTAAAAGATCACTAGCACAACTTACACAATGGTATCGTAAACAGCATGGTTGCGACTTCATTTCAATATTACCTGGTAATATCTTTGGCGCTTATGGCGATTTTAATCCTAGTACTGCTCCACTCGTCAATGCACTGATCGCAAAGGTTGAAAGCCAAAAAGAACATAATCCTTCAGCTCCTCTTATCATGATGGGTACAGGTACACCGTTGCGTCAAATTATGTTCGCACATGATCTTGCGCAAATAGTTGTCTGGACAATGGAAAATTACAGCGCAAATGAGCCCCTAATTGTTACTGGAAAAGAAGTTTCAATTTCTCATATTGTTCAGCTTGTATGTGAACAAGTAGGCTTTAAAGGGTGTGTTCAGTTTGACAATGATACAAAGAATGATGGCCCACTACGTCGCACCGCTGATACATCACAATTCGAAAGACTTAACCCATCCTTTCAAATGACTCCACTCTCAATAGGTATCACAAAAACAATAGAATGGTATAGAAGCAACAAACCCAAGTTATTACAAGATTAAATAAATATTTTTTTGCCTCCTGGAATTAGTTCACTTCTTTGACTAAAGGATCGATACTAAAATAAAAAAGAGCACAACTTTTGGTAAAATTGTTTTCCTGTATAAAATAATGTTAGACGCTTTCTTACCTTTTGAATTGCCTACTCAAATAAGATCTAGCTCCAAATTTTCTAAAACACGCATGTTTTCTAAACAAAAAAGCAACGTGCTTAACCATTTACCCCCTTCCTATCCCCCCATAATGGTTCCAAAACAGTTATTTGTAAAACAACTATTGAAATAGAGTATTGGTCTCTTACGAGAGCTTCCATAAGCTGGTCGAGCATCTCACCAATATACGAGGCACTCGATAAAAGTTTTTTTTCGGCTTTTTTTGCTCATTCAAAACTTCAATGTCTAAAACTACTAACTCTAAAATTTTAGGCTCTAACACCCTTCCTATGAAAAGTTAATCAATACCGATTTTTAACACTGTCATACCTCTCTGGAGAAAAAGAGAAAAAATATGCTATAAAAGATGTACCAGCTTACGTTTCAATAGATTATTGCAAATTTTCACAGTATACATAAAAAGATAGACAATTAAAAGTTGAACAAAATAAGCTATTTTGATATAATATAATCTCTAACAATTCTAGTTTTATAAAGCTAATGTGAGTCAAAGGTGGTCATTTTGATCAGTCCAAGTAAACCAATGTGGGGTGGGTGTAGGATGTGGGTGGGTGTGAATGTGAATGTGGATGGGTGTGGGTGTGGGTGGGTGTGGGTGTGG